AGGATGAATAGAGATTCATAAACGAATTACTAAACTTGAAATGGAATCATAGTTATTAAATCAATTTGGGTTTCGACAAAATCATACCCAAAGATTTAATCAGGAAATTGGATGTCGAAAAGATTTTACATGTATGGACTTGTAAAGGAAATAGGTTTACTCGCTATTCACTTAATACTAGATTCATGCTACTTGCTAGATGTTCCCATGATATGTGGGTTCTTGAATTAAAGAGTTAATTCAAGAATAAGAGTTAATATGAATAACTCAAATTACAAAGAGTTGTAAACCCACTACTAGTATTAATTGTGAACCTAAAAGGTCATACCAATTTTTGACTGAAGGTAAAATTCAAATAGTATTTCTAAAGAGTTAGAATTAATTGAGAAATCTATTTTGATTAGATATCGATTAAAAGAATATATTAAATTAATCAATAAGATTGCTTAATTGAATTTTGGATATTAATTTAGTAATTAATGAAATTACAAATTAATAGTTGGAAATTAAAACTGGATTTTAAATTTTAAATCCAAATAATAATAAGATTATTAAATAAGGAAATGGAAGAATAGATTAAAATAATAAAGTCTTGAAAAATGTTTTCTAGAATTATTATTCTATTATTTATCTTTAATATGATTGAAGATTAAATATTAATAAGAATAAATTAATTATGGTGGTTTGGAATTGTTACACAATCCACATAATTAATCTTATTTTTATTAATACAATAATTGTCATTGATGGTGGTTATAAACCAATCCACATTATTAATCAAAAACCAATATTTGGTATGATTATTTAAATAAAATCTGGTTTTATTTAAAATAAAATATATCAAATATTGATTATTTTATGCTAAAATGTTTAGTATAAATAGGTGCAAAATGTTTGCACACTAATTGCTAAGTTTTTTGCTAAATTCTTTCAAGAGAAAAACATTCAAAGAGTTGAGTGATAAAACAAGAAAGAGTTCTTGTAAAATTTCCTTATAAATATATATTCTATACTTCTTGAAAAACCGAGTAGTTTCTACTAGCGAAGAAACTATAGTCGGAACCAAAGTTCAAAAGGTGGATACCATTAAAGGGAAGACATTTGGATTCCTAAAGTGAGTAACCACAAGAAGTGATCGTTACCAAACCGGGAATTGATTTCCTCATACATCGTCGGTTTTGAAGGAGTTCAAGAACAAAGGTAATTTTTATAAATTACATATTAAATCAAAATTAGTAAAAGTTACTAGATTTTAAATGATGCTTATTCGTTATCTCGTTATACTTGTGTACGGAATAAGTATTTATAAGATAAATACTTATAAAAATTTTAAATTCCGCTGTATAATCTGTTCCGTACGGTATATCGAAACCAACAGTGGTATCAGGGCCAGGTTACGAATTAGCATCTTTAAAATCAGATTTTGATTTGAAAATTATTAAAAACACAAACTGGAATAAAAATCGAATAGAGTATTCGAAAACACGAGTCGTGAAGGATGACAGGACGCGTGTGACCAGTCGTGTGAGGTCACACGACCCGTGTGAGAAGTCACACGAGTCGTGTGACTGGTTGTGTCACCTCACACGACTCGTGTGAGGTGTGACACGAGTCGTGTGACTTAAATTTCTTCTTAAAATTTTCAACGTCACTCTCGCATTTGTCACACGAGTCGTGTGAGTTAGTCACACGAGTCGTGTGACATGCCACACGAGTCGTGTGACTTGTCACACGAGTCGTGTGATTGATTTTTGACTTAATATGAGTCATTACTACATCAACATATTAAATTAGTGAATTTATATGGTTGATTTAGGGATGATCATGTAGCCTTTTATGAATGAATGATTGCATGTTTTATTCAATATGATTGAATGTTGCATTTTATCCAATGAGATTGAAGGAATGTAATTTATAGAGACATGCGGGTCTCTTGAATTATGATTTGTAAAATTTTAAATTTTTGTATCGTTATAAGATTAGATCAAGGTGGAGACCGTTCGATGCGAAAGGCCTACGCATGTGTGGGTAATTTTACAAGTTGTAAATCTCGAAGGCCTGTGCTTGTACGGGTAGATAAAATAAATTGTAATAGAAGTAGTTCTATTTATTTGTTTTATCACGTACATAGGTATAGACCCATTTTGACTCAAATGGGTCGTATAGGCAAGGACATGATCATCCCACCGTATGCATGCATTAGATGCATGTTAGGTTTATTTATGCTTGTGATTCATGCAATGAATAATGCAGTAAATAAACACACGTAAAGATGGTAATTAATGAGATATAAGGAACCCTAAAGAATTAATTTGATTAATTTAATATCAAATCATTAATAGATAAAAATAAGTCGGAACTTATTAATCCAGGCCTTCCATCAAAAGTAGACGACATGAGATGCTACGATGCTTTATCACCGACCATGAGTCGTGGGGTGGTTTTGTGTCGAAAGTTGTGATCCCTGCTAAGTATTGTGATACTCGTGAGGTGGATTCCTCTTTATGTTGATCATGAGTCGTGGGACATTCTGGTGGGCCACTATCATGAATGTTTGATGGGTTTGATTTGACACTTAGTAATATATACGGTCATAAAATTGAGGTATATAAGGAAAAGTGAGGCAAAACATCTTGAAGGTTGTACAATGATACAATTGTCAAAAGTTGACTACCGATATAAATATTTCATGCGTACTCATAAAATTGGGATATGGAATATTTTTATTGGACTTCAAGCCCACTATGAAAATTAGATTTTCATAATTAAAATAGGAGTTTTAATTAAAATAGTGAGAGACATTTAATGTTAAAGACCTAATATTAAATGAATATAAATTTCATAGTCTGATTATTTTCTGCTTCGTTTGTTTTTGTAGATCACTCTCCTAAAATGGCTAAGAATCCACTTGCAAGTATTCTTGAACAAAACAAATTAAATGGACCCAATTTTAATGATTGGTTGAGGAACCTGAAAATTTTTCTACAGTCTGAAAAGAGGGACTATGTATTGGACAAAGCCCCTCCTCCTCCACCCGAGGATCAGACTTCTGATGAGTATGGAGAATACTTACGTCATACTGATGAAAATCTCCAAGCTCGGTGCTAAATGTTAGCATCAATGTCAAATGAGTTACAAAGACATAACGAATTGTTGAATAATGGTTCTGAAATCCTCTTTCATCTACAAGAGTTGTATGGTGATAGGACGCGGCAAATTAGATATCAGATATCTAAAGAGATTTTCAAGTGTCATATGACTGAGGGCTCTTTAGTTCATGATCATGGGCTGAAGATGATAACTTTTGTTGAAAGGATTTCGTCCCTTGGAGTCATTATGGATAATGAACTCTATGTGGATCTCATGCTGCAATCTCTGCCATCGTCATTTGATAGTTTCGTTGTTAACTTTAACATGCATAATATGGAGACTTCTATGCCAGAATTAGTGAACATGTTAAAGACGGCTGAATCCACAATCAAAAAGCGGTGCTTATTGTTGGATCCACTTCTAGATCAAAGGCTTTAAAGTCTAAGAAAAGGAAGGGGAAGAGAAAGGTTCCCAATAAACCCATCAAGAAGGCAAATAACAACAAAGGGAAGAACAAAGAGAAGGTTAATTCTCAGTCTAATCATGAATGTTATCATTGTGGTAAAACTGGGCATTGGAAGAGGAACTGCAAGGAGTATCTTGCTAGCCTGAAAAGTTCAGGTATTTATTTTGTTGAAGTTAACTTATCAATTAACGATTCTTCTTGGGTATTGGATACCGGCTGTGGCTCACATATTTGCAATGATTTGCAGATGATGGCAAGAAGTAACAAGCTAGAAGATGATGAAACAATCCCAAGGATGGGTAATGGAGCAAGAGCTGCTGCCAAAGCAATTGGGACTGTTTATCTAGCTTTAAATAATGATGTAAAAATTTGTCTTACAAATGTTTGTATGTTTCGGATGTTATAAGAAATATTATTTCTATTCCAGTAATAGATAGAGAGGGTTTTAAGTTTGTTATTGAGAATGGAAGATGTTCCATTTTCAAAGATACAACTTTTATAGATTCCAGAAATTTGACAAATGGGTTATATACCATTACACCACAAAGTCCCATCCTAACTATTCAACAAAATAAAAGAAAATTATATAATAATAGTTCATTCACACTTTGGCATGCTCGATTAGGTCATATATCTAAAAAGAGGATTAACAAATTGGGACCAAAGCTCGAACTTAGGGGAGAGGAAAGGTTTCCTACTTTTGAGTCATGTCTTAAAGGTGAAATGACAAAATCACCATTTGTTGGACAAGTGGAGAGAGCTAAAGGTCTGTTGGATTTGTTATATACAGATGTTTGTGGACCACTAAATGTTAGTGCCAAGGGGAACTACTACTATTTCATAACTTTTACTGATGATTATTCACGGTATGGTTGTATATATCTATTAAGGTACAAATCTAAAGTATTTGAAAAGTTCAAAAAATTCAGAAATGAAGTAGAGAAACAAATTGGTCGTAGTATAAAAGTTCTTCGATCAGATTGAAGAGGTGAATATTTGACCAATAAGTTTCTTGATTATTTAAGAGATAATGGGATTATTTCACAGTGGACACCTCCTGGAACTCCACAACTCAATAGGGTTTCCAAAAGAAGGAATCAAACATTATTGGACATGGTTCGATCAATTATGAGTTCCACTAGTTTACTTCTTTCATTCTGGGGCTATGCCTTAGAAACAGCAGCACATATTTTGAATAGAGTGCCAAGTAAAGCTGTACCCAGCACACCTTATGAGATATGGTGTGGCAAAACACCCTCGTACAAGTATTTAAAAGTATGGGGTTGTACTGCTTATGTGAAGTAGTTAGTGGGAGGTAAGTTGGATATGAGATGCATCTTATGTAAATTTGTAGGGTATACAAAAGAGTCTATTGGATACTATTTCTATGACCCATCTGAACAAAGGGTGTTTGTGTCGAGGAATGCTGTTTTCTTAGAGGAAGAGTTTCTCTTAAAGAATAGTGGAGTCATACAACTTAATGAAGAACCACAAGAAATTCCACAAAGTACCACAAATGACATACCAGTAGAGACTGAACTATCTATAACACAACCTCTTCGGATATCTGAAAGGGTTTCTAGGGCGCCTGAGAGGCTATACCTATTGTTAGAGAACAATGAAGAGGGACTTCTTTTGGATAATGAACCAATAAGCTATGATGAGGCAATGTCGGACATTGACTCAGATAAATGGCAAGAAGCTATGCAATCCGAGATAGATTCTATGTATTCAAACAGAGTATGGACTTTGGTTGATCCACCACAGGGTATAATACCCATAGGTTGTAAATGGGTTTACAAACGAAAACGTGGTGGAGATGAAGAAGTAAATACTTTTAAAGCAAGACTGGTTGCTAAAGGTTATACTCAAAAACAAGGAATTGATTATGAGGAAACTTTTTCACCAGTAGCAATGCCTAAATCTATTCGGATATTGCTAACCATAGCTGCGTATTATGACTACGAGATATGGCAAATGGATATGAAAACTGCCTTTCTTAATGGAAACATTAAGGAAGACATTTATATGAAACAGCCGCAGGGTTTCATATCCAGTGGGAGCGAACAAATGGTTTGTAAGCTTCAGAGGTCCATTTATGGACTTAAACAAGCTTCGAGGAGTTGGAACATTCGGTTTGATGAAACGATCAAAACGTTTGATTTTCATCAGAATCCGAATGAACCATGTGTTTATAAGAAGGTTAGTGGGAATGCAGTTGCATTTGTTGTTCTATATGTTGACGACATTCTACTCATTGGGAATGATGTAGGAATGTTGCAGTCAACAAGTACATGGTTGTCTAAACAGTTCTCCATGAAAGATTTGGGAGAAGCTTCCTTTATCCTAGAGATAAAAATCTGTAGAGATAGATTTAAAAGGATGATCAGACTATCCCAGTCTACATACATAAATAAGGTACTAAAAAGGTTTAGTATGGAAGAATCCAAATGTGGATATATTCCAATGATTGCGGTTTCACTTTCAAAGACGATGTCTCCAAAGACACTTGAAGAAAGAGAACGAATGAGTCATATACCTTATGCATCAGCTATTAGTAGCATTATGTATGCAATGTTATGTACAAGACCTGATGTGGCTTATGCACTTAGTGTAACGAGCAGATATAAGTCTAATCCAGGTGAAGAACACTGGAAAGCCCTTAAGATGATTCTTAAGTACTTGAGAAGAAATAAGGATATCTTTATGGTGTATGGAAATGGAGAACTGAAATTAGAAGGCTTTACTGATTCTGGTTTTCAGTCTGATAAAGATGACTTTAAATCCATGTCTGGTTACTTGTTTACTCTGAATGGAGCAGCAGCTGGTTAGAAAATTTCCAAACAAGAAACAATTGCTGACTCTACAATAGAGGCTGAGTATATTGTTGCATCTGATGCTGCAAAGGAAGCTGTTTGGATAAGGAACTTCATCCAAGGGTTGGCTGTAGTACCATCTGTTGTTGATCCAATAACGATTTATTGTGATAATAATGGGGATATTGCGCAAGCAAAGGAACCAAGATCTCATCAAAGATCCAAACACATTATGAGACGATACCATTTGATTAGAGAAATCATTGGTAGAGGAGACGTCATAATGGAGCGAGTCGACTCAGCAGAAAATATAGCAGACCCCTTAACTAAGCCTTTATCAAGAAAGTGTTTGAAGGACATCTTGAGAAGATGGGTCTAAGATACATGAGTGATAGGAACTAGGGCAAGTGGGAGATTGTTAGAGTAGTATACCCGGCGTTCCAATCGGATTAGACTTAGTCTACTTGTAAATACAATCTATTGGAATAATATTAATTAAAAGGCATTACTTTATTTTAAGAGTAAGCATTTATCATATATGTGCACTTAAGATAAAGTTCCTAGATCACTTATAGCTATAAGATATAGTTGCGCATAGAGATGGTGATCATGGAACATATCTTGAAAGCTGTGATCTTAAATACAGTTCCAAGTCGTTGGATGTTTCGAGATGGGATATCAAATAAATCCGGAAAAGACTTGCACATTGTATGTATGCTTATTAGATAAGAATGTTGCATTCCATCAACATTAGCGTGGGACACAAATACATATATGTGGGTGCTTGTTAGAGAACAAGTTCACTGAACATGACCGTATGAAAATTCTTAATGAAAGTTTATCATGTCAAATAAGAATTTTCATGTTACAATAGTACATGATTAATCCTTAGACTTGAGGCACGATGGTAACTTTGTGCATATTATATTTTACTTTAATTTATCCTTTTGATTGCTAGCACAATCGTATAAAGGGATATTTTGGGTATTATATTAATATGTATGGAAGTTTGTCAGTGACCAACAAAGAATTCGATACTTATGAAGATAAGTGAATTTCCTATGTGTTTCATAGTTAGTAATTCAAAGTCCTTGGCCAAGGCAATGAATCGAGATTCATAAACGAATTACTAAACTTGAAATGGAATCATAGTTATTAAATCAATTTGGGTTTCGACAAAATCATACTCAAAGATTTAATCAGGATATTGGATGTCGAAAGGATTTTACATGTATGGACTTGTCATCGAAATAGGTTTACTCGCTATTCACTTAATACTATATTCATGCTACTTGCTAGATGTTCCCATGATATGTGGGTTCTTGAATTAAAGAGTTAATTCAAGAATAAGAGTTAATATGAATAACTCAAATTACAAAGAGTTGTAAACCCACTACTAGTATTAATTGTGAACCTAAAAGGTCACAACAATGTTTGAATGAAGGTAAACTTCAAATAGTATTTCTAAAGAGTTAGAATTAATTGACAAATCTAATTTGATTAGATATCAATTAAAAGAATATATTAAATTAATCAATTAGATTGATTAATTGAATTTTGGATATTAATTTAGTAATTAATAGAATTACTAATTAATAGTTTAAAATAATAAAGTCTTGAAAAATGTTTTCAAGAATTATTATTTTATTATTTATCTTTAATATGATTGAAGATTAAATATTAATAAGAATAAATTAGTTATGGTGATTTAGAGTTGTTACCCAATCCACATAATTAATTTTATTTTTATTAATACAATAATTGTGATTGATGGTGGTTATAAGCCAATCCACATTATTAATCAAAAACCAATATTTGGTATGATTATTTTATGCTAAAATGTTTAGTATAAATAGGTGCAAAATGTTTGCACACTAATTGCTAAGTTTTTGGCTAAATTCTTTAAAAAGAAAAACATTCAAAGAGTTGAGTGATAAAACAAGAAAGAGTTCTTGTAAATTTTCCTCATAAATATATATTCTATACTTCTTGAAAAACCGAGTAGTTTCTACTAGCGAAGAAACTATAGTCGGAACCAAAGTTCAAAAGGTGGATACGATTGGAGGGAAGACATTTGGATTCCTAAAGTGAGTAACCACAAGAAGTGATCGTTACCAAACCGGGAATTGATTTCCTCATACATCGTCGGTTTTGAAGGAGTTCAAGAACAAAGGTAATTTTTATAAATTACATATCAAATCAAAATTAGTAAAAGTTACTAGATTTTAAATGATGCTTATTCGTTATCTCGTTATACTTATGTACGGAATAAGTATTTATAAGATAAATACTTATAAAAATTTTAAATTCCGCTGTATAATCTGTTCCGTACGGTATATCGAACCCAACAGTGGTATCAGAGCCAGGTTACGATTAGCATCTTTAAAATCAGATTTTGATTTGAAAAATTATTAAAAACACGAACTGGAATAAAAATCGAATAGAGTATTCGAAAACACGAGTCGTGAAGGATGACACGACGTGTGTGACCGGTCGAGTGAGGTCATACGACCCGTGTGAGAAGTCACACGAGTCGTGTGACTGGTCGTGTCACCTCACACTACTCGTGTGAGGTGTGACACAAGTCGTGTGACTTAAATTTCTTCTTAAAATTTTCAATGTCACTCTCGCATTTGTCACACGAGTCGTGTGACATGCCACACGAGTCGTGTGACTTGTCACACGAGTCGTGTGATTGATTTTTGATCAGAAACGAGCTGTTTTGACTTAATATAAGTCATTACTACATCAACATATTAAATTAGTGAATTCATATGGTTGATTTAGGGATGATCATGAACCTTTTATGAATGAATGATTGCATGTTTTATTCAACATGATTGAATGTTGCATTTTATCCAATGAGATTAAAGGAATGTAATTTATCGAGGCCTGCGAGTCTCTTGAATTATGATTTGTAAAATTTTAAATTTTTGTATCGTTATAAGATTAGATCAAGGTGGAGACCGTTCGATGCGAAAGGCCCACGCATGTGTGGGTAATTTTACAAGTTGTAAATCTCGAAGGCCTATGCTTGTACGGGTTGATAAAATAAATTGTAATAGCAGTAGTTTTATTTATTTGTATTATCACGTACATAGGCATAGACCCATTTTGGCTCGAATGGGTCGTATAGGCAAGGACATGATTATCCCACCGTATGCATGCATTAGATGTATGTTAGGTTTATTTATGTTTGTGATTCATGCGATGAATAATGCGGTAAATAAACACACGTAAAGATGATAATTAATGAGATCTAAGGAACCCAAAATAATTAATTTGATTAATTCAATATCAAATCATTAATGGATAAAAATAAGTTGGAACTTATTAATCCAGGCCTTTCATCAAAAGTAGACGACATGAGATGCTACGATGCTTTATCACCGACCATGAGTCGTGGGGTGGTTTTGTGTCGAAAGCTGTGATCCCTACTAAGTATTTTGATACTCGTGAGGTGGATTCCTCTTTATGTTGATCATGAGTCGTGGGACATTTTGGTGGGCCACTATCATGAATGTTTTATGGGTTTGATTTGAGACTTAGTAATATATACGGTCATAAAATTGAGGTATATAAGGAAAAGTGAGGCAAAACATCTTGAAGGTTGTATAATGATACAATTGTCAAAAGTTGCCTACCGATATAAATGTTTCATGCGTACTCATAAAATTGGGATATGAAATATTTTTATTGGACTTCAAGCCCACTATGAAAATTAGATTTTCATAATTAAAATAGGGGTTTTAATTAATATAGTGGAAGACATTTAATGTTAGAGACCTAACATTAAATGAATATAAATTCCATAGTCTGATTATTTTCTGCTTCGTTTGTTTTTGTAGATCACTCTACTAAAATGGCTAAGAATCCACTTGCAAGTATTCTTGAACAAAACAAATTAACTGGACCCAATTTTAATGATTAGCTGAGGAACTTGAAAATTTTTCTACAGTCTGAAAAGAGGGACTATGTATTAGACAAAGCCTCTCCTCCTCCACCTGAGGA